TTTGGTTTGGTCTGGGTTATCTGAATCTTTATTAGATAAGCTTGAATTAGCAGCAGGGTATGTGATGCAGCAGCCTATGTGATCCCCATCCAGAGAGGCGGGAGGGCAGCTCCCAGCCCCTGCTGTGCCATCCTGAGCACACACAGCCCTACCTGCCTGGAGCTGATTTCATTTTGTCTTGGCAATCTTCTGCTATGCACTTAAGTAAACAAAGATCAAGCTACTCACAGCCTTAATTAGGCTGCACATAAATAAGAGATTACTGGATTAGGCAGGAGTATACGTGGGAAAGAAAAATCACAGCAAAAAATCCTACTACCAGTGTTTTCCTCGCATCATATCCCTGCGGATCTCCCTTGTTCCTTCCCACCCCACTCTGCTTATTTGCTCCCTTGCAAAACTGTGGAACTGATGTGAGTGTTGCAGATGCAGGGGAGGATGGATGGTGAGGGGAAGCAGCAGCAGTGAGTCCTGCAGCTGTGCCAGCAGGAGAGGCCAGTTGAGAGCACCGCACTGTTCACTTTGGGATCTGCAGCATGTCCTGCCCCACTGGGGCTTGGTGACTGAAGCTGAGCCACAGTGATATCTGTGGCACATTTGGGAAAGGTAGGCTCTCTGCTCCTTGCAGAATCTGATTCAGAAGTTGAGCTATTTACACTTTCTTCATGGGGAAATGGTTCTTATCAATAAATGAGCACTGGGCAGGCTGTCACAGGTGGTGTCACAGGCACTGGCACAGGCACACTCCCAGCCCACTCAGCCCTGCAGCTGCTCGGCCCTGCAGCCAGAGCAAGGCACTCACCTCTGGTCAGAAAACATGGTAGAAAAATTATGTTTCCCTGATTTTCCCTTTTCTTGGCACAGTGCGGGACGGAGGAATGAGACAGGGGAACAGCCCAGCTCTCCCTCAGTGGAGAGGCTGCTGCTCTGGGCTGCCTTGTTTCCCCCTCACAGCACTGGAGGGTCACAGGGAGTCATTCCCAAAGGGCAAAAGATATTACAAGGAGATACTTTTTCAGCCTTGCTGCTGACACAGCACCATCCGTGTTTCTTAACCAGGAGCGATGTCTGAGTTATCTCAACCTAAAGCCTGAAATATACATTATAGGCTGCGATTTTCTGTGCTTTATTTGGGCTGTAAAGTGAGATCTTATTATTTCTCCCTCCTGGGCATCCTTTAATGAATCTAGATTTGAAAGTGAAATATTTATTATATTTCAGGAGCTTAAGCATGGAAGGAGAGGAGTAAGGATATGCAAATTTGCCAGAAAGCATTAAAAAAAGGTCTCTTTATTAAGAAAAGAAGGTGAGAGTGCTCAACTGTCAAGCCACGGGATGGATGTCCCAACAGAGTGGTGTTATGGGGATGTGGGGAGTGGGACTCCCCCAGAGAACTACCCATTCTCACTCCTCTCAAACTCTGGGGGAACTGAGAAGTTAGAGCTGGAGTTAGGGACATGTCATTGTTCTCAGTTCTCAGCCTGGCCAATTCAGTGCTTTGGGAAAATGCAGGAGAAAATATATTTCTGCAAATTAACCAGAAACAAAGTGATAAAGTCAGGTGTATTGACACAGGTAAATGCAGAGTTAATGCAAAAGTTGTCAGCAGCTCGCTCCGACCTGAACCCCAGTGGAGAACAAGGTGTGCAGCTGCAGTGGTAGGAGGGCCCATCCTCATTAGAATCAACACATTTGTTTAAAAATAGAAATATTCTGCCATCTTCAGCAGCCAAGATGAAGCAAGCTATTAACGGATTATGATCCTGTGACTTCAGACCATTGTAGTTTTAATATTTCACGGGGCATTGACACCGAGTACATCGTATGTGAACGGCACCGTTGGCTTCAGCTGTTGCAAACAATATGGTGCAGAAATAATTGAGCTAAAAAGAAATTACAGCTATTTGAGGAGGTGGCAACTCTGCTGCATAGAGGGGAGGCTGCAGGCACCAAGTCAGGCGTGTGCTTTAAAAAATCAGAGTAAAAATCTCTGGGTTTGATGCTGGAGAGGTTTTTGGCAGGTTCTGCTGCAGTGGCAGTGCTGCACCCAGATAGGGGGAGCTGGTCTGTCAGTGATATATGCAGGCAGGGAGGATGGAAGAGAAGGCCTTGCCTATATGGGGAATTGTGTTGGGTTCGGGAGGGCTGGTGTGAATCTCTGTTTGTGCTTTTAAGTCTCAGATGTATCATCCAGCCACCGCAGCTTAACAAGTCGCTGTTTGTCAGCTGTGCTGTAAGTCACTGTGGGCGTGCTCGGCGCCCAGCACAGGGATGCCATAAAGCTCAGCAGATTGCGCCTTTCATCTGTTCTCATTCCAGCTCTTTTAGCTTAAACTAGTTCCTAATCATTACAGAAACCCCAAACGAGGCTTGTTTCCAGCACAACAGCCGTCTGGGCAGAGTCTTCTCGCATCTTTGCTGTGTTGTATTGGGAGTCATATCTTTCCTCTTGATACCCTGGCACTGGCCCCTGCCCCAGCCACGCCTCTCGCACGCTCCCCATCTCTCTCTGCAGCAGTGGGGACACTCCACCCTTGGGGACAGTGTGGTGACCTCAGCAGACCTCAGGTCAGAGCAGGGCTGGCACCACTGCATCCCTTTATTGCCTCGGTCATCTCACGTTAGGCAGAAAATGGGAGAGGAGGAAGAGATGCAGCAGCAGGATTGAAATGTTTCAGCACTGCTGGGCTGCAGCAGGGCAATATTTCATTCCAAAATAGATTTTTCACTGGAAATTTTTTAAAGGGTGGATGTCAGCCGGGAAACTCAATGCTTTGATGGCTGAAAGCACCTGTTGGAAGGAGAACTTCTTTCACAGTGACTGTGAAGCACCTGATTTCCAGCTCAGAGCACAGACACAGTTTGGGGTGGGGGCATCGCCCCTAAGGCCTGCCCACACCAACGCTGTCAGTGCCCGAGGCAGGAGGTCTGTTGCCTCCTCACGCCTTGAGGGTGTGAAATCCCGATGGATTTCTTTGGTACCCAAACACCCTGATGAGATGTCAGTCCCTTGTAAAGAGCTGTCCATGCCAGTGATGATAGATCAGTCTTTGCTGGGTGAGGTGTCACTATATGCATGAACATATGTACATGTAAATAAAAATAGATATAATATACATGATATAACATATAATATCACACACACTATATAATACATCCATCCTACACAGGTGGCCAGCACTGCTCTGGTGTGCCACATGTGGAGGAGGCACCTGCAGCCATCGCAGGTATTTGCATCATGGTGGCACCTGAGGGTCCTGGTCCAAGCACACAACCCTGGAGCACCTGTGCCAGCACTGATGTGCGTCACTCCACGCTCCTTCACTTCTCCAAAGCAGGATCTGAACTGATCAAATAGAAATTTTCTGGTTTTCTGAAAAATTTTCAGCTGGCTCTGGCTATTTGCCTCCTCCCAGAGCGACACAATTTCACAGCAAATCCATCACTGCAGCAGCCACTTGGCACCATCCCCTCTCCAGCTCCTCTGACTGTTCTCCCTCCCTCTGACTCCACAAATTCCACCTGTGGCACTGGTTCTCCACTCCCAAGCCATTCCATCCCGTCTGGGGAGACTCTCTTCCAGCAGCAGGTGAAACAAAACCTCCCACATCCTGTTCTGAGGTGTTCTACCCATCCCAGGCCCACTGGCCCCCATCCTACTGCTCACTGCTGGATGCCAGGCAGGGACATAAGGGCTTTTGGGCAGCACTGAGGATCCTGTGGCAGCCCAGCCCTGCACAGGGCAATGCTTTCAGAAGCTGTGCCTTTGTCCCAGAACACACCCACACTGCTGATGTGCAGTTCCTGAGCAGCTGGACAGCCAATGGCACGAGGAAGAGGAAGGACACATTCAAGGCAGGCTGAGTTTTTGGCAGATGAGGTTAAAAAAATATTAATGGGTCTGGGACCTACACACCCAAATGCAAACCGGGACCATGACCTGGTCTCTGCTGGCTCCCCAGGTGTTGGTCTGGCATGGAGAGGCCTCTGTGGTCTCCGTGCAGGAGGGGTTCCCCCCCAGCCCTAACATCACTCCCAGGGAAGGAGCTGTTTGCTGCTGTCAAGTGAAGAAACTCTGTGGCTTCGCTACTTGATGTGATGGGAGCTCCTGGGAGATGGGGATCGAAGACAATGCTTTTTTTCTTTATTTGCTGGGGCAAGATAGAAGGAAAGTGTGTGAGGGCTGCCAGCAGTGTAAGAGTCTGTATCTTCTCGTGGTCAATCACAGCTCTTAACCTTCCTCGTTCCTGCAGCAAGTGCCCTTGGGACTGTTTGTGTTTCAATTTCCAGGCTTCCTCTCTGAAAGCAAACAGGTTGGGGGAGGCTGTTACACAGACACATCAGTCCTGCGTTCCCCTCTCTCCTGGCATCAGGCTGTCAAAGGCAGGTTAGAGGTTAGAGACTGGTGCTGTCCTGGGTCTGGTGCCAGTGAAGTTTTTGTTGTACAAACCTGCTCGCTGCACTGAAGGAATAAGTAAGGTTGTTCTAATTCCAGCAGATGACAATCCAGCTTAAAATACATCTGAGACTTTGATCAGGTGTATGTTATCTTCTAGACATCTGGGTGGTGGTTTGGGTTTTCCCCTCAAAGAGTCCGCCCGCTGCAGTGAATCCAACGCCAGCATCAGAGCTGGCTGGAATGCTGATGGGGCACACATCCCTCCATCACACCCTTGAGCTGTAAGGACCCTCAGCACACCATTAAAGCTAAAAAGGCAGAGGCCAGGCATGGTGGAGCCTGCTCAGGTCCATCCTGGACCTGTGGCTGCAGACAATCACCCCTCTCCTGCCCCGCTCTGCTTCGAAGCCACTCACGATGCCGTATTCATCTCAATGTCATTTTCTTTGAGATGTGAGCTGGAACAAATCCGGAGCAGCTGCTCCATCTCTAAGTGTCCTTCAGGGATCCCTTCAGCAGACACTTTGCAGGATATAATGATGACATTCTAACGAGCGCTAATGCACACGTTGTCATCTTTCTGTATTTACACTTCCCACAGGAGGCATCGTTCCAAGAAGGAAAAGTGAGAGACAGAAACTTTTACACAGAAACTTCAGCGCCTGTGCTGGGCCCAGCTGGGAAATCCACCCGATGGAGAGAAGCTGCAGGGCAGAGAGATCTCCAGCATGAGAGAGGCAGTGGCTGCAGTGCACAGAGGGGTAGCCAGGAGAAGACAGGCACCAAGCTGGAGCCCCCCAGTCCCTGCAGCTGGATTACACCAGGCCATAAGGAAAAAGGTGCGGATTATTCTGGGGTACAGGTGACAGCAGAGCCCACATTACTCCAGATCTCACCAGCTTCAGTCTAATGATTTCTCTGGGGACCAGGCTGTTCCATGTGCTGGCACACATGTGCCTTCTCTGTCCCCAAAGATGCCACATGGAACAAATTCATGGCCTTTGTGGTGGACACTCATTAGACACATCATTAAACAAAGCCATAATGGCTTTAGAGAGCAGCGCCGTCTCATCTCCATCCCTCGGAAGAGGATCCTCTGGTCACTAATGCAGTGAATCCCTCCTTGTCCAAGAGGAAACAACAGGAATCAGCTCTTTGCCCCCAGGAATGTTACATACATACATATGGGTGCATGCATTGCCTATAGATAAATAAATAAATAAAGGAAAACCTTTCCAAGTGAGGGAAATGAGACTCTGTATCCATGTGGTGCTTCAGCGTAAGCAGCTGGAATGGGTAAGGTCATCACTGTGTCCTCTGCTCACTGATGTTATCAGGAGGAAGATTGTATCAAATAAATAATATACCAAAATATTTGTGTCTCCATCTCTCCACACACTCCACCATCCTGCTGCGTTACCCAGCTCGGGAGTGAGGATCCGGCCGGGGTGATAACTAGGAATAAATGGCTCTGCTTGTCGGGGGAAATTTTGCTGGCAAATTTCCGAACCAGATTAAAAAGTAAATGAGATTTCTTCTGGAGAGTTATTTTCAAGGGTTTTGTCTGCTGATGTTCTCGTGCGAGATTGCAGCTTTGCCAGGGGGGAAGAGAACAAAAGGGGAGGATAAAGAACCGAGGTTGCAATTATCCCACGGAACGAGGTTCTCCAGCGAAAGCACCTAATCGGGAAAGTCTCAAATTTGCCTAAAATACAAAGCGCAGTACAACATTTATTTATAATCTGCCTCACCTCCTCAGATAAAACTGTTTCTAAAGCCAGGCAATTGCAGGAGACAAGCTGTAAAATGGAACAAATGGAATCAAATCGGGTATTAATAACAGCCGAATGAAATAATAACAGAATGGGGTCTTTGAGCAGAGCACAATTTCTGTGCTACAGCAAACATAGGTGGAGTGATGTGGGCAGAGAAGCATTCCCAACCAGGAGACACAGTGGGACAAGGGGATGAGGAGACAGAAGTTGTGTGAACCCCTAAGAATGGCGAGGAAGCAGGAGGGCCCCGGGTGTGGGCAGGTGGTTAACGAGGCACAACTAACGAGGCAAGTGATGAGGCAGGTGAAGTTACTTGTGTGCTGGCAGTGCTCCCCAGAGCTGGCTGCAACATGGTGTTCCTCCAGAGCTTTCAACTGGGACCCTGGGTGAGTCTCTTGGTCTTTATTTCTCTACTAATGCAGCAGAAATTTCATTGTTTGGTTATTTGGTCAGTGGTTTGGTTTTTTGGTCAGTGGTTTGGTTATTTGATGAAAGCCTTTAGTCCATGAGCACATTCCATCTGCTGTTGATCTTGCTGAGGAGCTTAAGGAGTGGCTGTAGTAGAAACAAGGCAAAGAATGTGCTGGCTACAGAGCTGAGATGGTTTTGTGGAGGGGCTCTTGCTCCAGCCAGACATGTGGGGGGTCCTACGGTGGTGTGAAAGCTTGTTGCATGGGTGTTATTCCAGTTTTTGTGTCTCTGTGCTCTATAATAAGTTCTTTGCCTATCTGCAAGGTTATTGACAAGAAACACAAGCTGGGAAAGTGTGTTTACCTTCAAAGTTTTATAAATATTTGTTATTGCTGTTATTGCCCTTTGCTGTCAGGGAAAAGGACCAGTGTGTTGGCTTTTGGTGCTCCAGAGCACAGTGGTGTTTGAGTTGGGGCAGCTGGTTCCCCTTGCTCATAATCCCTGTCTGGGCTACTGGAGATGGTAGTTTGGGGGTCTTGAAACTACTTGGACACAACCTTTCTGTGTTCCTGAGCCAGTCTCTGGGGAGCAGCTTGGTGATCTCTGCTGTAGTCTGTGCTCCCAAATGCCCCAGAGAAAACCTAAATTGAATAAAAAAGCAGTTCCTCCTCCTGCTCCTTACACCAGGCAGATGTGTCCTGTCTGTGCCCTGTGCTGCAGCAGCCCAGCCTGGGTGCTGCTGGCAGTGGCCACACACCAGAGAATGGGGCCAGACTTTCCTCTTGTTCCATGGCTATTCCCAGTATCCCTCACCGTGCATGGAGGGCAGTGGGTGGCAGTGGGCATTGGAGCTGGACCCGACGCTGTGGGGTGTGGGGTCTGCATCGCTCCTAAAGACTCACATTCTGGTTTTTTGCTTTTGTGACATTACAGTGCAAGTATTAAAACTGTGTGGAATGAATGGAAAGGCTGTAAACAAACAAGTTTTGGCAAGTGTGGGTGGACAGGGCAGTGCTGGGGGGTGTCCAGGGCCCTGGGAGCTGATGTGGGGTGTGCACGGGTCTCTGCACGTGCCTGGCTCTCCCAGGGATGCTGCACTGCTCTCAGCATCCGCTGCTGTGCCAGCTGCCCTTACCCCCGGCTCCTGCCCTTCATTTTGTCTGGATTTGGGCAGCCGCGTTTCCAGGCGCCGAGCAGCTGCCGGGCTGACACCGGTGACGCGCTCAGCCCGTGCGGGCTGACTCCTGTAATTGGGGTCAGTCACAGAAAAAACCCTGTCACAGCAGAAAGTGCTTCTCAGCTGCTGGGGCTGACACAGACAGCGGCGCTCTGGGGACAGGGACACAGCCACGCTGCCCTCCCTGCCCTCTCCCTGCCTCTCCTTACCTGCTTTCTCAGCACGTAGCTCCTCTTTGCTCCCTGTCTGTGAAGTGGGAGACTGTTTGCCCTGGTGCCAGTGGTCAGATCTGCTTACCCCACCCCACCTTCCCTCCTGACTAGGCTGCTGGAGCAGCCCCTTGGGCTCTTCCCAGGGCTCTGCTGCCTCTTCTCCCTGAGAAGAGCCGTGACTGCATCCCTGGTGGCCTTGGCCCACGTGTGGCCAGGGAGCAGCCTTGTCCTCACTCCCTGCATCACCAGCACCACTGAGGATCCTCTTGGCTCAGCTCCTGCCCTCGCTCTGGGAACACCAAACCCAGCAGCCAGGCAGGAGCCCTGTGGCTCTGTCTGTTGGGGGAGCAGAGTTTGGAAGCTCATAAGCTCTAGGAAGAGCCCAGGGTGCAGGAGGCAGGCTGTGACGGTGAAATAAATAAACAAATATATGATCATTGCTACTCCTTTCTGCTCCCCCTGCCAGTCAGCACAGAAGGAGCCAGGGACCTTTCATGGAGATAAATGGAGTGCAAGGGCTAATTAAAGTGACTGATTTCTCCATGGCAGGAGCTTCCCAAGGCTCCGCTCCTGTGGTGCCCTTGTGTTCAAGCAGGGAGAAGAGCCAGAGGTGCCAGCATGTTTTGGAGTGTCATGAGCTGGGGACAGCCACCTCTGAGGGACCTCTCCGGTCACCTCCCATCAGAGACACTCAGACAGCCCAGAGCTCTGTGAGCAGCATCTCAGCCCACAAATAATAACAATCTCATTTCCCTGCCATCCTGCACCAGCAGGACCTTTGCCATCTCCTGTCTCCTCTTCTCTGTCACAGAGGGGTGGGGAAAGGTTCACAGCTTGGAGAGGGCTCACAGGTGTTTGCCCTGAGGGAAGCAGGAGTCAGGAGCCACCATGGCCCCACTGGGGCTGAAAAACCCCTTTAGGAGGGGAGAGATGAAATTGCACAAGTCTGTTTTATTGGCAAGGGGGCTTTACAAATCTGCCAAAAGTAAGAAGACCCTGATAAAGGCTGAAGGAGCAAGATGGGCCCTTCAGGGTCTGGGGCACAAGCTGAGCTGCTGCAGCTGCAAACACCAGCTAGTCTGGAACAGGGGAATGCAGTTCAGAGCCACCACAGCCACCAGGTTCACATGTGTTCCCCAATGCCTTTTGCCTCTGTCTCTGTGCAGCTTCATTATGGCCCTTCCATTGCTTATCGTGAGGGAGGGTGTGTCTGGCCTTGTTTACAAAGGATAAATGCTTTGTGCTGCGTGTTAATCACTGCCCTGCACCTTTCGTCTAAAGCCTCATGCAAAGCTGCAAACGGGGGCTCATTTAGGCTTCTGGTTTGTAGCAATAATACCCTTTTAATATGCTAAATGAGAATGGAAGTGAACCTTCCTTACGCTTATGAGTTGTTGAAAACATCCCTCAGTGGGTGAAGGTCACTCCATCGGCAGATTGATGCCGAGCTGTCAGGCCCCGTTCGTCGCCTGGGGCTGGCGCTGCCACGGGTACCGCGGGTGGCACCAGGGACACCTACGCAGGCAGGCAGGGGACAGCTCAGATGAGCACAGGGCTCATGGGTTCCTGTGTGCCCAGACCCGCAGGCACTGCCAGTCTGCCCAGATCACAGGCTTTGTTGGGGCTTTTTCCATTCCTTGGCGGCAGACACGTCTCTTCTGATGCTATCGTGCATTCCTCTCTCTTTTCCTTTCTGCTCTTCCTAGGAGCTTGTGTCCTGGTGATCTATGAGTTGTTTGGAGAAGCAGCAAACACTACTTATGCATTATATACATGTCTTGTCTGTTCCACTTGATAATGCCATTCTTTAATATGCTCAGCAGTAGCTTTTGGGCTGCCTCTCCTTGCACTCCCCTAAAAGCTGCCTGGCACGCACTCAGGTCTTTTTCTTCTTCAAATAATTTAGAGGATTTTATGTCTAACTTTGTTTTCCAACATCCTCATGCGTGGAGAAGGAACAAGACAAAGCAGGGATCTGCCTTGTGAGCCTGTAGCATTTCCATCCCGTTCTTTGCAGAGACAGAGCAGCTCCGAGGTTTGGTCAGAGATGAAAGAAAAGACAATGACAGATTAGCATGTGAGCTCGTGTCCCAGCATGGGTGGAGGGGGAAGTGCCTTCCCTCTGCGTTTGGTGTAGAGGCTGCCTGTCAAACGGCCTGTGAGTTTGTTTATATATATATATATATATATATATATATAATATAAATATGTTTGTACACAAATAATGATGCCCCATCATGTACAGCCCCGGTACCACAGAGGCAGCAGGAGAGGAGCGGGAGCACCAGAGCCCCCTCTTTCCAGCAGCCACCCCTTGGGAGCCGTGGGATCCCATCAGATTGCCCCGGTGCAGTGTGAGTGCTGAGGGCCCAAGGATGATGTGGGCTCTCTCTGAGATGGAGAGCCATTTAAAAAAGGGGAAAAGAGCTTTTTTAGTCCTCTTTATCCAGCTGAGAGGAGAGCATCTGGCATCAGTACTCTGATTCATGAAAATCACTCT